TTCAGCAGGTTTCAAGTGTTTATGGCGCTACCTGACTGGGGAGGCTTGACAGGCGGGCGGACCGATCTATGCAACCAGGTATGTTGCTGGGTCGTTTTTCGAGTCGTCGGGTCTAAAATTTACATCACTCAGGCGTGAAGATGTTCAGACGTGAAAAGTCAGATGAGTATAACGTGCGTTGGTGCAGTAATGGAAGCACGCTCGCCCCACATGTCAGATGTGCGGAGTTCATAATCCAGGCATGGATGAGGATAAGCACTACTGATAAGCTTTTTCTGTATCGTCCAGTGAGCGTAGCAGCTACTCATGTGCTGACGCGTCCACGTACACGCAAACGGATCTACACATAAGGAAACCGAACGCAGTCAACACACACAGACTCGCACGCGCAGGGAGCAGGAAGTCAACTACTCTCCACAAGTCCACGGACAATTATGGAACGCATGTAGCAGCCATACTGTGGAGGAAACACGTTCCCGCCGTCCGGACTTTCGCCAAGGTACTCTTACAGACGATGAGTCCCTCTTTTGACTTGCTCCCATTTTTTATTGCATTTATTTTTATACGTGTGGCATCTAACCATTGTCAACTGTACTAAAAACTCTTATTAGTGCATATACCTTCTGAACTGTATTATGGCCATCATCAACAGTGCACTAATAAGCTCAAATAACAGCGAAGCTCGATTTTAGTGCTTCCCCCTTTAGTGTGGACCCACCAGAATGACAGGAGACTGACTGTTCAAACGAATGATGCAAACGTGCATTCTACAAATCCAGTAACCAACCATATCTAATTTCAAACGCCTCTTCGGCAATTGTAAAGTGAAAGGTATCACTGCATACACTGTGGATAGAAGGCTAATCGTCATGGAGTTGAAACGACCACTCCAGTTTCCTCACAGCCGCATAAGGGCATGCTTCACCGTCAGCGCTCAATACGATGAACGTTAGCAAAACTTGTCCCGTATACAACTCAAGGGTCGGACCTTCGCGGCATAAATTCAATCCATGTTGCTAATATTATATTTTGAAAAAATCCGCGGTCGATGCAAGCTTAAAATAGCTCTGTATCTTGACTCACGTCAGCTGATAGTGAAGATTTGTCAAGGCTGATATAAACGTTTGAAGTGCTTTATTCTATGTATAACAAGCGGGAATGATGTCATGCACCATGTGATAAAGAGTCATGAGCAAAATAACTTGAGAACTACCGGCCTACACAAAGATCCAGAGATTTCTCTATGAATGAAGAGGATGTGTTAAGTAGCTGATCTTTGAACTTTGTTAATTCTCTCGACTTTTTATTACTATGCACACAATCAGATATTCCACATTCTACTAGATCACCAAAATGAACCTTGATCTGTCTTCTTACATGGAGACGCCAGAGAATATTCATGTACTTGGAGATGTAGAGGGTCGCTCTTCGAAGGACTGCTGTAGTATTTGAGGTTAATGTTTGGAATCCGCAAGAAGCAAACTTGAGCATACTGTGGGTAGTGATTTGCTTAGTTGGCCCCTCAATGTGGGACAACGCAAAACACAAATTTTTCATCTTGTTCTTCGCTTAGAGGGAAATTTGCCACTTGCTGATATATACGACAGCCGTTGTTGGGAGTTGAGGTGTGGTATCTCAAAAGCTATCAATACCACTACTGGCAACACTACTACTATCAGTACTGTCAATATATACTAAATCTCACGGAACTGACCTTGAGATCACCGATCGATACCACCCACCTGCACGTATGCATTCATATTCAACAAAAATCGATAGAACTGAGCATGATAGGAATTAGTCAATAAGAGTGCGAGACGTAGAAAATATGCAGCCACAGAATATTGAGTTGCTCAAGGGGGGGGTAGAGTTTGTGTCGATTCATTTACAATCAAGCATGTGGTCATGAATGATGTCGTCGTGCAGTCGTCACGTGCAGTCGTATGACTATCCGGGTTGCTTTCTTCGAATTCACTAAACCACGGGCAAGGTGTTCCGCTTCTATTGTGTTCCTAGAGAAATAACAATTATACTATTGATTATTGTGATTTTAGTCTGAACTGCGTGAATGTCTTTTGTTCGCATTTGCTCATTTTCTGGCATCCGCAAAACTATCAGTGTTAGTCGTTCAATAAATAATTTCCAAGTCGAAGGCGGAACACACAGTAAAATTTGTCTTGTGAGATTTCGGCCCTGACTGGGATTGCGTAGCAGCTACTGTAGCGGGTTAAATGTGTTGATCATTCCGTGATAGAGTTGCGGCCCACGGACGTTCCTATTCATATATTGTTCGAGCCCAGTGAAATATCCTCCATATGCATATGCCTATGTACAGTGTAGTATGACTGAGTCGCAGCAGTGACAGCAGGGCAATAAAAGTGGACAACTGAATAATATTTTGTTTTTAGGATGAAATGTACAGCATGCTTTCTAGTTACACTGGTGCCCTGAGGTTTTCTAGGGGGGACGCACACATAAACTGTGGAAAACAAATCACATCAACCAAGAAAATGCGGCCAACCTTTCAATGCTACCCATAAACTCTGGACAACCTAGTACTTATGTTGTCCTTCCTTGTGCTCGTCAGGCGGGTCTGGTCCCAAAACTCCATCAACCGTTCTTTCTACCTGAAGAAGTTTGTGTCAGCGGGGTGGGTATAACAATCTCAGGTTTTGCCAAAGACATGCATACCCGTCTTCCATAACCAAAGTAATAATTTAGCTATATGTGAACTCTCAGCTCACTTACAGATGCCACAATGCCTTCAGGGTATCGCCTATCACTTCACAAAAACTTACTATGAACCTTAAAGCTGACAGATAATACCTCAATATCACTGTCACGTAACTAGGGGGGTCATCAGTTTCGTGACCTATCTTTGGAAAAAGGCATACAGCTGACGGCTCGCTGCGTAACCAAAACCCAAAACAAGAAAGCTACAGCCAACACTGGGCGCGAAAGCGATACTAATTCAGGCCACCTTTATCACAGAGTTGAATCACCTCTAATTTTCGTATGACGCAACGTGACATTTTTATATTCAATCTAAGTTACTACGCTTTTACTTGTGAATGTACAATGTTTTGTGTTTGCAGCTGGAAGTTACCATATCTTATTTTGTATTAAAAGATTGCAAGGTTTGAGGACATCGATCTGTCAAGAACATCTTCGGTACTCAGCTGGTTACTCTGGCCTCGGTAATTCACGAAGTCCGGTGGCATTTATAGAACTCCAGTGGCTTCTTTTGTATAACCTAGAGAACTGGGTGCACAATCAATTCAGCTCAGTTCAGTTCAGCTCAGTTCAGTTCAATTCAGTTCAGTTCAGTTCAGTTCAGTTCAGTTCAGTTCAGTTCAGTTCAGTTCAGTTCAGTTCAGTTCAGTTCAGTTCAGTTCAGTTCAGTTCAGTTCAGTTCAGTTCAGTTCAGTTCAGTTCAGTTCAGTTCAGTTCAGTTCAGTTCAGTTCAGTTCAGTTCAGTTCAGTTCAGTTCAGTTCAGTTCAGTTCAGTTCAGTTCAGTTCAGTTCAGTTCAGTTCAGTTCAGTTCAGTTCAGTTCAGTTCAGTTCAGTTCAGTTCAGTTCAGTTCAGTTCAGTTCAGTTCAGTTCAGTTCAGTTCAGTTCAGTTCAGTTCAGTTCAGTTCAGTTCAGTTCAGTTCAGTTCAGTTCAGTTCAGTTCAGTTCAGTTCAGTTCAGTTCAGTTCAGTTCAGTTCAGTTCAGTTCAGTTCAGTTCAGTTCAGTTCAGTTCAGTTCAGTTCAGTTCAGTTCAGTTCAGTTCAGTTCAGTTCAGTTCAGTTCAGTTCAGTTCAGTTCAGTTCAGTTCAGTTCAGTTCAGTTCAGTTCAGTTCAGTTCAGTTCAGTTCAGTTCAGTTCAGTTCAGTTCAGTTCAGTTCAGTTCAGTTCAGTTCAGTTCAGTTCAGTTCAGTTCAGTTCAGTTCAGTTCAGTTCAGTTCAGTTCAGTTCAGTTCAGTTCAGTTCAGTTCAGTTCAGTTCAGTTCAGTTCAGTTCAGTTCAGTTCAGTTCAGTTCAGTTCAGTTCAGTTCA